CCCCGGCATCCTGCCCCCGGGAAATCTCTCTTGGGGGTGACTGGGATGGGAACCCCTCCCTGGGGTACATCCAGTGCTAACCTCCACTATCACTCCCCCTCCCCGCCCCCACACACTAATTTACTTCTTCCCACACAGGGGTAAGCAAAACCCTGTCCTCTTGCGAAGTTTTCTCAGTAAAGAATAGTAATAACAACAATAATAACCTTTTGTGGATCAGTTAGCATGTGCCAAGCCTTTTCCTACCTTAACTTATTGTCATAATGACCCCACCTAGTCCCATTTGACAGAGCAGAGTGCTGAGGCTCACAGAAGACCCCCGAGCTGGTGGGTATCTGAGCCCAGGTCTGTGGGCTGCAGGCTTTCTGCTCGGCCCTCCCTCCTGGCGCTGGAGAGCCGGCCTCCGTGAGAGCCCCTGACGCCTTTTTCCAGGAAACGTGGCTGCCAGGAGGCTGCCGGTGACGCCAGCTCCCCTCCCCGAGTCCGCAGGAGGACTCCAGCTTTCTATTTCCTGCCCTGGCTCCCAGTTACAGGAATCGGTGTGTGTGTTCCTCCAGCGACTGTCCTGAACAGGTGCCCACCCCCTCCCAGCTCCACGCCCTGGCGGCCAGGGAGAGGGGTCAGCTTTCGGAGAGGCATCTCCTTCACCCAGTCGGGCAGCTGCCCAGGGATGGAGCACCAGGGGCACACACAGCCCTTCACTGGGCGAAGGGATCAGACCAGCAGGCGTGGGAGGAGGATGAGCGAGGCAAGAGCCAAGACTCCCGCCCGCTCGTTTCGAGACCTGAGCAAATCTAGCCCTTTCCGGGACCCGGTTCCGCCACCTGTTACCAGAGGTTGGCTAAGGCCACGGTCCTCAGCCCCGCAGACATCAGAGCCCCTGTGACTCTCCAAAGCCACCGGAGGAACACCTGCTGTGGTGGGAGCCAGACAGGGTTCTGAAAGGGTTCTGGGTCCTGTTAACACGAAGCTGGGATGGAGAACTGCATTCCATGGCACCTGGAATGTCACCTGCCTCCAGTCTGCTGTCCTACGCGCTACAAGCTGTCGTCACGGTGATTTATAGCAACAACAGCGCCCTAGAAAAACTGATGTCTGGGCTGATGCTGGGGAAGTGAGGAGAGCAGCCCAGGCCAGGGAAGGGGCTCAGGAAAGAGGAGGGGATAGAGGCATCCCTGGCAGGGGCACGTGTGGGCGCGCGAGGGACCAGAGGACCACCTTCCACCCGCCTGTGGGCTCTTCAGCCCGCGCATTCCTCCCCTGGGCTCATCACTATGGTAATTGGAGTGTTTGTTTGTTCACTGCCTTCCTCCCAGAGGACCAGCCTGGTCTGCCTGTCCACC